GCAGGTTGATACCAGCAGCCTGTTCCAGGTCCTGATTTAGCCTTCTGTAAAAAGGTGATGCCTGTCTGGATGATATAACGTTATTTTCTGTTCCTTTATCATTTTACTAACTCGTTGACTCTTGTTTGTGAAGAAGAAGAATGTGTGGTGTGTACAGGGGCTCCATCTGTACTGTAGGTGCAGTGATGGAGAAAACCCAGCACACTATCAACAGCACTCGGTGAGGAAAAGCTCAGACAGGAGCTGCCGTCTGCTGTGACTGGTTGGCTGAGAGGGGAACTGATGGGTACAATGTGTATACACCTGGGGAGGGAAGTGCTCCAGTCTGAGCCCACAGCAGCATTACTGAGAGCTGGATCACATGACCCTGATCCATGGTGACTCCTAACGAGGCTTTATGAAAAAGGAACGTTTCAAGCCTAATATCAAGACTAGAGATGGTGTCAGTCTCATCAGGCCACACTGGGAGTTGGTTCCACAGTGGGTCTGATTAAATGTTATTGCTAGTTAAAGACCTCTAACTCAGCTTGGCTACAGTGATGAGGGGAGACGTCCTCTTAGACGTCCTCTTAGTGATGAGGGGAGACGTCCCAGTTTAGGTTGGGTTTGTTTGTTCATCTAGATTTAAAAAACAAACTATTTTCCTGGCTTTCCACTCCACCACCAAAATATCTGCTTTTAATGCACATTTAAAAATTATACCAAGGAGTCAAACTTCTATCCAGTATGCAGTGAGGAAGTAATACTGCTAACATGATAACTGACCTCTGTGGGAGCAAAGTTTATCTACACTGTGTCGGGAGACAGAAACAGAGCATAGAAAAAAGTGCTTTTGCAAATGGGAGTAAATGGGTGAATGAGGCAAGTTACAAAGAGTAGAACAGAGCTAAATAAGAAGCAGCACGTTCACACAGCAGGTCGAAAATAATCACTGCTTTAAATTCAGTTACTTGACCTTTTACGTAGAAACGGAGCTGTGAGGCGAGCAGGTGAAAGGGTGTGTCTAATAAAATGGCAGGTGAGTGTATTTGACTGCAGATTAAGTTTAATATGAATTTAAAGATTAGTTAATAGGAATTCAAGAATTTGTCTTGATTGG